TAGTATTGACCTTCTGCACAACCTGTTCAGCATCTTAGTATTGACCTTCTGCACAACCTGTTCAGCATCATAGTATTGACCTTCTGCACAACCTGTTCAGCATCATAGTATTGACGTTCTGCACAACCTGTTCAGCATCATAGCAACACACAGCTCCCTCTGTGAGACCAGCAGAGTCTGAACATAAGGAAGATTCACCAGGAATTAAACTGCAGTCCCTGGCACAGAGGGCAAGAATCCTACTGCTGACCCACCAATGCCCTCACTGACAACTTACTGCTGGCATAATCTAGAGCCAGCCTCACTACCTCAAGTTCAATGTCCTTGCCTGCCCTGGAGGAGACTACAATGGTTGCAATAAAAATGAAAGAAATTAGTTCTCTAGAAGAGTGCTCATAGGAAACTTAAGTCACCAGAGTTAAACTGACATGAGCTGGCGTGTAAGACAGTGTTTCCGATACATGAGGAGCCCCCACAGTGAGTATAGGCAGTTCTCGGCTGCTATCTAAAAAGCTCGGGTGGCTGGAACTCTCCAGCCGCCCCTTGGGAGAAAGATGTGCTTGCTCTGTTTCTGTAAAGATTCCAGCTTTGGAAAGCCTATGGTCAAGTTCTACTCTGCCCTACGGGGGATGACTGTGAGTTGGAGTTGACATCAATCCGTTTTTCCTGGACACACAGTTCAGGAGCCCTAGCGATCTAGTGGTTACACATTGACTGTGATCCCAGAGTTAGGCTCGGAAACCCACATGGGGTCGCTGGGAGTCGGCATCGACTGAGTTTGCTTTGGTGATGCACATAGTCCAAACCCACTGCCGTAAGATTCATGGTGACCGTATACGGAGTTCCCCAGACATTTGTGGGCGCAGACAGCCTCTTCTTCCTCTCAGAGCTCCTGGGACCTTTGTCCCACCACCCTTACATCCAGCAGCCCACAGGGCTGACCTCTGGTGCTACCAGGGGCTCCTGATGCAAAACTGTTAGCGTTTACTGTCATGTGTGCCAGGCACTGGTAATCATACTGTATCTGTTGTTAGGTTCTGTTGAGTTAGCCCTGACTCAAAGGGGCCCAGGCACAACAGAATGAAACACTGCCCTGTCCTCCACCATGCCCACAATTGTTATTTTTGAGCCCATTGTCTCAACCACTGTGCCCTCTCTTTGGGGGTCTGAACCTCTTTTGTGCTGACTCTCTGTTTACCAAGCATGATGTCTTTATCCAGGGACTGATCCTGCCTGATAGCATGCTCTCTCTATTAACGAATTCAATCTGTATGACCACTTGGAGAAGATGCTGGTATTATTTGTAGCCTTACGTAGTTTGTCCAAAGGCAATCTGCTGGCAGAGCAGATCGTCAGAAATAGGCAGTCTGATTGGTGCCAGGGTTTGTGATTGTAACCAACATGCCATACTGCTTTTCTGGATAGCTTACAGATGCAGAAAAGCTTACTGTTAGTCCAGGCTTGCAATTTGGTCTTTATGTGTCATTTCAGGGATGACAGCCTCCACAGAACTTACC